GCAACAGCCCAGGAGCATAGGATAATGGCTATTTTTTGGCCCAATGGCACTTACTACTCTCAAGTCCTAATTTTTGTGATCTACAGTTACATAAATGGTCATGCAGAATAGGTGCTAATGGGGAGCTGTGCCATCCTCTGTCTTCTCTCAGCATTTACTGCAAGCCTCTGGTGATACTCTTGTCTCACTGTATTAAAGTTATCTATTAAAATAGTGTCTCTTTAAGTCACACATGTTCTGCAAAAGCGAGGACCAGTCTTTTTCATCATTTCCTCAGCTATGCGTGTCAGTTGGTGGCATGAAGCAGACACTTAACAGATATCCAAATAGAATTAATTTTTCTAACAAATTTTTTCCCCAATGACTTACCAAACCGTTCTCTTTAACAAGAAAAATTTAGATTGAACTTATCAGAGTTAAAGCATCAAAAACTAACTCTCACTAACTTTTCAGAGTTTTCTAACTAACTTTTCCATGGTGTAGCTACCACAAAAAATGGAGGTTCCTGCAAAAATTAAAAATAGAACTACCATATGATCTAGCCATCCGACTTCTGGGTATATATCCAAAGAAATGAAAACAGGATCTTGAAGAGATACTTTCATCCACATGTCCATTGCAGCATTATTCACAATAGCCAAGATATGGAAACAGCCTAAGTGTCCACTGATGGAAGAATGAATAAAGAAGATGTGGTTTATATATATAATTTAATATTATTCAGCCATGAGAAAGAAGGAAATCCTGCTGCTTGTGACAATATAAATGGACCTTGAGGGCATTATGCTGAGTGAAATAAGCCAAACAGAGAAAGACAAATATTCTGTATTTTGGATGGATACCAAGTCACTCAGAAGGTTGATAGGAAGGCTGGAGATTAAGCTTGGAGGACAAGACTGCTGAAATCACAGCCAAAGATCCCCTATTATACCAGTTAACTTGTCTTCAGGGGCTCCATTGGCTTTGTGGCCACTTGACACTACACTGCTTTTGCTCACTGATACTGTTTCCTTTCATGTACCTTGATACAGATTTAAAGTCCCAAGTGATACATCCTAGATCTCAGACTCTGCTCCAGCTGCCAGCGGAAAGGGAGAGGGACCATCTTCCCTCCTTGGAAGAGGTGAGTCCTGCCCCTGAACAGGATCCATACCATGGAACAGGTGCCTAGATGAGGACGACGGTTTGATCTTAGGCTGCCAAAGCAACAAAAATGTCCACCAATCTGACTGAAAGGTTTCTGAGTCATCGTTCCAAAGGATGGCCTTCTGTAAAATTTTTAAAATATAAATAAGATAGATTCCTGGCTGTCTGAAATGGTTTAGATAATAGTTCCTCCATGAAGCAGAGACAGATTGAAATACAATACATCCTCACATGGCTATCATCTCCTGAAATGCTAGAAATACCTTTGTGTCAAAGTCTTATTAGAAGCCCAAGAGCTGGAATTTAGAATGACATTCCTCTCCACCCACTCCGCCCCGCCAACCCCCCAACCATGATTTTGCTACAAGAAGTTGGTCAGAAGATGCATTTCCTCTCTCAAGTTTGTTGTCTTTTGTTTGTGACTGATACTATACACAGTGAAGCATCTGTGTTTCACAAAAATAATGTGTGAAAACAGTTTTCAAAAATGCACACTGTGTGTATAAAAAGAAAACCAAAAGTATGGTTACAACTTTGTAGTGCCTATTGAATTTGTCAGTGAATGGAAATCTAATTGCTATCCATTTCTACTGAAGCCTTCTATGAACATTACATTTCCATTAAATAGAGAACTCAGGTATAGCAATATGGTGTTCATGTTGAAATAGTAAAAATCATTACTGACTAGTTGTTTAAAAATTTATACTTCCTCTTGACAAATGGTTAGAGGAAATAACAGAAAATATCATTCATGTCAGCAAAGGTAAAAGGAACATATTTTCTGAAATGTTACAAATAGCTCCCTGGTTTTGAATGATGACTACAAATTATTCTCCTATTCTTCATTTATAATCACAGAAACTCTTCTTCAACACCTGCTGTTATTACCATGGGATTGGCATAAAAATATTATCACTTGCAGGGCTGAATTTAAGGACTGAGGGACCCACAGCTTGGGTTAGAGGGATCAGACCTAAACTGCACTTGTTGCAGAAAAATCTATTCAACACTCCATCCAATGGCAAGAACAAATAATATTGTATTTTTATAAACTTGGTAACAATGTTCATGATTAGTTCCCCTCCTCCTTCTCCTTCTGGTTTTTCTTCTTCAGTGATGTGAATGACCAGTATCCTTTTGATGAGTTGGTCAGTCCGTTTTTTAATGATTTTGTATTTTCTTTTGATGAATATTTGTCAAAAGAAAGGAGCAGTTCAGATAATGAGATTTACAGTTAATAAGCTAAAATCACAAAATGATGTTAGATTAATATTTCTAAAGTACAGCTCTAATCAATATCTGCCCTTATTCTAAAGTCTTTCACGTCTCTATCTAATTAAGTCTAGAGTTCTGGACTTCAAATGTCTTCAAGCCTGTCTTCTGAAATTTTATTCTGTCCTGTATGTATAGTACAGATCAGTTCAGTGGTTCTTAATCTTGGCTGTACATCATAATCACCTGGGAAGCTTTTCTTTTTCAAACACTGATGCCCAGGTGCAGCTGCGTGCTAATTGAATATGAACCTGGAGATGAAGCTCAGGCATCAATTTGTTTTTTCTGTTTTTTTTTTTTTAAGGCTCCTTATTTTTGTTATCTGTTGTCACAAAACAAACCCATACCAAGACTTATTTGTATAAAACAGTAACCATTTTATTATGCTACTGAATTCTGTGGGTTAAGAATTTAGATAAGGCATGGCACTGATGGTGTGTCTCTGCTCTACGATATTTGAGATCCTGGCTGAGACAACAAAAATGGCTAGGTGTGTCTCAAACAGCTATGTGCTGGAATCATCTAGAGGCTTCTTTATTCACTTTTCTGCCACTTAGGCTGAGATGACTCAAAGGCTGAGTTCAGATAGTACTGTCAGTCAGGGTGTCTACTCTGCTCCTCCATACAGCTTGGGCTTCCTCAAAGCATGGTGGCTCAAGGTAGTTGGATTTCCTATAGGAATCCCAGGACTCCAGGAGCAAATATTCCACTGAAAACGGTGGCATTGTGATGCTTTTTATATACCTAGACTCAGAAAGCATAGCATCACTTTTGCTGCATTTTATTCATTGAAGCAGTCACAATCCTTCAGATTCAAGGGGAGGGGACTCACGTCTCTACAGGAAAAGTGTCAATGAAATTGTGGCCATAACAAAAGTTGCCATACACCCCCTGGTAATTCCAATGTACAGCCAAAGTTGAGAAGAGCTGGATCCATTTCTTGCAAATACTGATCTACAGAGCAGGGCTGGGACTTGGGTGAGGCGAATGAGATACCTAGGGTGCAAAGGCAGTCACTCTCAGGATCATGCAAGTGCAGGGTAACACCTCCTTACATTTTGTGCCCAAGGCCATTTATCGGTCTCACACTAGTCTTGCCCCTGCTACAGAGCACCAGTGTATGAATCATGGGGGAAAGAAGGACTTAGATTCTTGGGTCTCATACTTTGATATTCTGATTCAGGAAGCCTGTGATGTAGACTGGGATTCTGTATGTTTTCAGAGATTCCAGTAGACTAATTACAGATTTCCATGTACTTTCCTGGGTGTCATGCCTTTGCTCATGCTGTTCCCTCTACCTGGAATGACCTTTCCTTCTGTTTCTATCAACTATAGAATATCTACCAATTTTTAAGATCTAAGATCAGGAGTATTTCAAATACTACCTCTTTTATCGGGCCTCTCTTGGTCCCATAAGCTAAATTATAAACTGTTCCCCCTAAGAAACCCGTAGCACTTTTTTATATGCCTTAAGGAACTCACATTTTGTCCTGGTAGTTTGTGAACTTGTCTTATAGAAAAAACATGTTCTCTTTTCTTGGAGGCCACCAAACGGAGATCTGGATCCACCCCATCAATTCTCACAGGCAGAGTCTTGTTTGAAAAAAAGTGCTATTTTCTTTGACTCATCTTACTCTGAGACAGTTCAACTTTGTAACCCACACAGCAACTGGTATGTACTGTGCACATTTTAGAAGCACAGTGGATATCTATCCTGATGGAAGGTGAGATTACCATTTTTGCAGACCTCAAATGTTGAATAATTGCCCTCGTTTACATTCTTAAGCATAGATAGGTATTGCATCCTTTATTGTGACTTCACCTTTGGAAAACTTGCTTGAACATTACCTGACAATCTTTTCCCCATAGAGAACTTTTTTTTTTTTTTTTTGATGCTCACTGTATGCAGAGTCCATACCCTTGACCATGGCACTACCACATTTAAGCCACAGAACCCTTTGAGGTAAGCACTGCTATTGTGATTCATTTTCCTGATGAGGAAAACCGAGACTAAATGATTTTTGCTAGATCACAAAATGACAAATTAACCAGGGCAGGTTCTGAACCTGGGCATCCAAGATTCCAAAAATGTGTGATTTTATCCTCACACTAATCCAGCCCCTCTTTGGTTGGTGGTATCCATTTACCGGTCTTTAGGGAGGGTAGGAAAGACAGGTGCACTTGTTCAAAATCAAAGTTGGCAAAACCTCTTGGAATCTCTCTTAACTCATACGATTTCTACCCGGGGTGAGCTTAGGGGCGTCCTTACTTTGTGCTCTTGCTTCTCAAGACACCTTTCCATCTGTTCCCCCTCTCTGTCTGGGCTACCTCCTTTCTCGCTGCATGTGGGACTGTTATGGAGTGGGCAGATACCTCAGTATTACATTCAGCCAAGGCCGATGGCGGTGCAGGAAGCGGGGGACGGTCATAGTCCACTCCCCCACAAAGTGGAGCAGCGCTTTGCTACGTGCAGGGATGAGACTGATCCAGTCGCTGCAGCCAAGAGAAGTGGGGGAGGCGCGAGTCAGAGCGCGTGGGAGCGCTGGGGGACAGAGGTAAGGAGGGGGAGAGCGAGCCAGAGAGAGACAGGAGTGAGGCTCGCCGGGAAGCGAACACCAGCTCCGGATCCCGAGCCCAGCAGCAGGCGGGGCAGAGACGGCAGTGCGGCATCCTTTGCCTGAGTCTGTGCAGCCGCCGAGCTCCACTCCCGCTCCCGGCCATCAGGGCTCCCAAGAATGGAGGATTCCCGGGAGACGTCGCCGTCCTCCAACAACTCCTCGGAAGAGCTCAGCTCTGAGCTGCAGCTGTCAAAGGGCATGTCGATCTTCCTCGAAGTAAGTACAGAGGGAAGGTGTTAGATCAGTGCCCCTCCCCGCCCCCACCCACCGCCATCGTCTTTTTTCTTACTCGGGAGGAGGGGTGTCGGCCCAGGAGCTGATCAGCCAGTGTTTTGCCCCCAGAACACCGGAGAGAACTACCTTCTACTTCGCTTCCCTCTCTCCCTGGTAAACCACCCAGTTAAATGCTGGAGAAATGACCACCACTCAACTTGTAAAAACGGCTGTCCCAGACCTAAAACCTGGGGCTTAACAACCCTTAATAAATTCCCAAAGTTAAATTTCTCAACAGCCTGGATTCCAATAGGGACTAGGTTTGTAAATACAACAGTCTCCATAGGGGTGGGGGGAGTTGTCCCAACTCATCTCTAATGTGCTCTGTTTGCAGCACCCACCTCGCAGATTCTCTGTGGTGACCAAGGGAATCGGTAGAAGTGGCAATGCCTCACCTCCTCCTCCAGCCCCCTAGAAAACACTTTGAAAACATATTTGTTTTTCATTTTTACCAGCGGTGGCCAAGATCTCTTTCATAATGATCCTTTTTTCACTGCCATATCCTATTTTTCCATTTTCCTGCTCTGTTATTGGCCTTCTGTACCTCTCCAAGTTGTAATTACTGTCATTATCTTCATCAGTTCAAGCATTTAGCTGTTCTTCTTTTGGACCTCTCCCTGGCTTCAGTATTGATTCTCTTCCTCCATTTCTCTGCTGTTGATGATCAGTTTTGTTCATTCTTATTTCCCTTTCTCTGATATTTTTCTGCCTTCATGCTATGGTTTCTATCTCTATAGCAGTTTTATTTCTTATTTGTTTCTCGATTTTGCTTTACTCTTCTTCCTGCTGGTCTCTATATTTCTCACCCTTTTGTTCAGCTCTTTTCTCTGCCTTTAGGTTTTGTGGTTTTCCTATCCCTCAGTTTCCTGCGGGGCACCCAGCTCTCTCAGCGTCTCAGTTGTCACATTCATGCTGTCCCCTGAGGTAGTTTCTGGCTCAGTGGGGACAATTCTGGCATGATAAAAGATGGGCAAAGGGCATTGAAGAGTGATTCGTGCTCTTTCCTCTAACCTTCTCTGAGTTATCATTTCTTATTAAAATCAAGGTGAGGGGACCAGAGGCCAAATACATTTATTTATTTGTGGAGCAATGAAAATATGAGGAAACCAAATTATTAGTATCATGATGGTGAAGCAGAAATGATGAATATAAGGGAGAGGAGGCAAGGAGCCCTCCCAAGTTTATTTTGAATGGATTAGCTTGAATTTTTTAATTGGGAGAGAAAACCCCTATCAATAATTAAACCTAGTGTAAGGCAAAAATATAGATAAGGTTCAACTTTGTTTCCTAGCAGCCTTCTCTTCTCATCACCATGCAGCTGCAATTGGGGATACAGGCATTCTGGACAGGCCATCTTCTTCCCACCAATACACATGTGGGATTCCAATTTCTTCCACTCAATAGGATTGTTAATACCTCATTCTTAATGAGGTATTAACAATACTAATGAGCACTAATCTCTGCTTAGTTTGGGTCAATCAGATGATGTTATTGGTGCTAATGGTTAAACTGGCTGATATTATTCCTTTTAAGTCTTGCCATTCAAGGCAAAAAAGCCTCTGAGGAACTAAGCAGGTAGAAAGAGGAGGCACACAGCACACCAGAGAAAGAAATCCTCAGGGACAGAGAGTCAGGACCCCTGAAAATCATCTCAGTTATAAGTTTGATGGCTAAACTGCCATGAAGTTGATTCAGAGAGAGAAAGAGGGGCTTCCATTCATTCTGAGCTGATCTTCAGCCTGTCCCCAAAGGATAACAAGTGCTTCCCTAAGACTTTTTTATTTTTCTGGAAGTGTATTTAATTTATTTAATTATTTATTTATTTATTTATTTATTTTTCTTCCAGTTTTATTGAGATATAATTGACTTACAGCACTATATAAGTTTAAGGTGTACAGCATAATGTACACCTTAATATATCCATAATGTGCACTTACGTACATCATGAAATGATTACCTCAATAAGTTTAGTGAACATCCATCATCTTGTATAGATACAAAATTTTAAAAATAGAAAGAAATTTTTCCTTGTGATGAAGACTCTTAGGATTTACTCTTTTAACAACTTTCACATATAACATGCAGTGTTGTTGATTATATTTATCATGTTGTTCATCATATTCCTAGTACTTATGTATCTTATAACTGGAAATTTGTACCTTTTGACCACCTCCTCCAATTTCTTCTCCTCCACCCCTGCCTCTGGTGACCACAAATGTGACCTCTTTTTCTATGAATTTGTTTGTTTGTCTGTTTTTTAATATAGTTGACTTATACCACTATGTTAGTTCCTATTTAACAACACAGTGAGCTGACATTTCCATACATTTCAAAATGATCACCATGATAAGTCTAGTTAAGATCTGTCATACAAAGATATTACATAGTTATTGACTATTTCCCCACATTGTAGATTTCATACCTGTGACTCATTTATATTGCAACTGAACGTTTGTACCTCTTAAACTCCCTTAGTTATTTTTCTTTCCCCCACCCCTCTCTCCTCTGTCAATCACCTTTTTGTTCTCTGTATCTATAACTGTTTCTTTTTGTTATGCTTGATCATTTGTTTTGTTTTATAGATTCTACATATAAGTGATATCATACAGCATTAATCTTTCTCTGCCTGACATATTTCACTTAGCATAATACCCTCTAGGTCCATCCACTTGTCACAAATGGCAAGATTTCATTCTTTTTTTTATGGCATATATTTTTATATTGCATATATATACCACTTCTGCTTTATCTATTCATCTATTAATGGCCACTTAGGTTGGTTCCACATGTTGGCTATTGTAAACAATGCTGCAATGAACATAAGGGGGCATATATCTTTTCTAATTACTGTTTTCTTTTTCTTCAGATAAATACACAGGAGTAGAATTTCTGGATCATACGATAGTTCTATTTTTTGAGGAATCTTCATACTGTTTTCCATAGTGGCTGCACCAATTTACATTGTCACCAATAGTGCATGAGGGTTCCCTTTTCTCCACATCCTCTCCAGTACTTGTATTTGTTGTCTTTTTTGATAATAGCCATCCTAACAGGTGTGAGGTGATATTTCATGGTGGTATTGATTTGCATTTCCCTGATGATGAGTGATGTTGAGCATCTTTCCATGTGCCTGTTGATCATCTGTATGTCTTCCTCGGAAAAAAGTCTGTTAAGATCTCCTGCCCAGTTTTTAATTGGGTAATTGGTTTTTTGGTGTTGAGTTGTACAACTTCCTTGTGTATTTTGCATATTAACCCCTTATCAGATATGTCATTTGCAAATATCTTCTCCCATTCAGTAGATGGAGTTTTTGTTTTGTCGATAGTTTCCTTCACAGTGCAAAAGCTTTTAAGTGTGTAGTACCATTTGTTTACTTTTGCTTTTGTTTCCCTTTACTGAGTAGACATATTCAAAAAAATATTACTAATAGTGATGTTAAAGTGTGTACTGCCTATATTATCTTCTAGAATTTATATAGTTTCAGTCTTACATTTAAGCCTTTAATTCATTTTGAATTTATTTTTGTGCATGGTATGAAAGAATAGTCCAGTTTGATTCTTTTGTATGTAGCTGTTCAGTTTTCTCAACACTTTTTTTTTTTTTTTTGGCCGCACCATGCAGCTTGTGGGATCTTATTTCCCTGACCAGGGATCAAACCCGGGCCCCAGAAGTGAAAGAACTGAGTCTTAACCACTAGACCAGCAGGGAATTCCCTTCAACACCATTTATTGAATAGGCTTTTTCCTCATATATATTCTTGCCTCCTTTGTGGTAGATTAATTGGCCATATAAGTGTGGGTTTATTTCTAGACTCTATTCTGTTCCATTGATCTATGTGTTTGTTTTTGTGCCAGTACAATACTGTTTTGATTACTGTGCCTTTGCAGTATAGTTTAAAATCAGGAAGCATGATACCTCCAGCTTTGTTCTTTCTCAAGATTGTTTTGGTTATTTGTGGTCTTTTATGTTTCCATACAAATTTTAGAATTATTTTTTCTAGTTCCGTGAATGCCATTGGTATTTTGATAGGGATTACACTGAATCTGTAGATTACCTTTGGTTTTAACAATATTAATTGTTAATATTGTTAATATTAATTGTTAACATTTTAACAATATTAATTTTCTAATCCATAAACATGGTATATCTTTTCATTTGTTTATGTTGTCCTCAATTTCTTTTATCAGTGTTTTATAGTTTTCTGAGTACAGGTTTCTTACCTCCTTAGGTTTATTCCTAGGTAATTTATTCTTTTTGATGTCATTGTATATGGGACTGTTTTCTTACCTTCTCTTTTAGATAGTTCACTGTTAGTGTATAGATATGCAACAGATTTCTATATATTAATTTTGTATCCTGGAACTTTGCCAAACCCATAATGAGTTCTAGTAGTTTTTTTGTGATATATTTAGGATTTCCTATATATAATATCATGTCATCTGTGAACAATGACAATTTTACTTCTTCCTTTTTTGTGTCAGCCTGCTGGTGGGCAGGGCCAGGGCCCAGGGTGTCCTGGGGTTGGTGCTAGCCTGCTGGTGCATGGGGTTGGTGGACACTTAGGTCACTTCCATATCTTGGGAATTGTAAATAATGCTTCTATGAACATTGAGCTGCATGTATCTTTTTTAATTAGTGTTTTTGTTTTTTTTAGATATATACCCAGGAGTGGAATTGCTGGGTCATATGGTAGTTCTACTTTTAGTTTTTTGAGAAATCTCCATTACTATTTTCCACAGTGGCTGCACCAATTAATATTCCCACCAACAGTATACAAGTGTTCCCTTTTCTCCATATCCTTGCTAGTATTTTTTATTTGTGTCCTTTTGCATAATAGCCATTCTGATCGGTGATATCTCATTGTAGTTTTGATTTGCATTTCCTTGATGATTAACAATGTTGAGCATTTTTTCATGTGCCTGTTGGCCATCTGCATTTCCTCTTTGGAATAATGTCTATTCAGCTCTTCTGCCCATTTTTAATTTTTTTCTTGATGTTGAGTTGTATGAGCTGTTTATATATATTGGTATTAATCTTTTATCAGTCATATCATTTGCAAATATTTTCTCCCAGTGAGTATTGTCTTTGCAATATGGTAAAGGGACAGTTTCTTTGGTACTGTGTATAACATAGCTGTGTATTATATTATCCAGATTTTTTTTTCTAGCAGTATACATTATCAGTTAGGGCTAATTTGATTGCTGTTAACAGAAAAAAATAACCCAAACTATTTTAAGATTTTAAAAAATAACAATTTATTGACTCTTGTAATGAAAAGCAGAAATCATCTTTTCAGGATGGCTTGATCAGGGGCTCAGAGAGTGTCATCAAGATCCAGTTTCTCTCAGCCTCTGGATACTCCTTTCTTGAATGTTAGTTATTTCCAGGTTGTATATTATATTAACTTCCTAGGCCTTTTATAATAAAGTACTAAACAAATGGTGGTTTAAACAACAAAATTTACTCTCTCAGTTCTGGATGTTAGAGGGGTGAAATCAAGGTGTGGGTAGGACCATACTCCCTTTGAAGGCCCTAGGGGAGAATCTGTTCCATGCCTGTCTCCTAGCTTCTAGTGGTGACCATCAGCCCTTGGCATTCCTTGGCTTGCAGCTGTATCACTCCAATATCTGTCCCTGTTATCACATAGCCTTCTTCTTTGTGTCTCTGCATCTCTGAATTGCTCTCCTTATAAAGTCACCAACCATTGGATTTAGGGTCCAATCCAGTAAGGTCTTAGTTTGATTACAACAAAGACTGTATTTCCAAACAAGGTCACATTCACAGTTACTAGGGATTAGGACTTCAACATTTGTTTTGGGGCAATACAGTTCAACCCGTGACATATATAATTACAACAAAGCAGCTCCTTACCTATATTTTCCTAGGTTCAAAGTCAACAGAAGATAAAGTGTTTCTCTCTTGACAACTCAAGGAAAACCATGGCTTCATTGGCTTTATTGTGCTAATGCCTGAGTAATCACTGTAGCCAGAGGAGTATGACACTCTTTACTAGGCTTGAGTACTCTGCCCAACCCTGGAACACATGGTCCAAGACTGGAGGAAAGATTGGTTTCCCAGAAGAAAATTAGAAATCTTTACTAAAGATACTGGATGGTCAAGCAGTTCATATTTATCAAAGACAATTTAAGATAGTCCCAGATAATAAATTAACTCATAAAAGTAAGATATACTATAGATGCAAGAGCTCCTATTTATCCACAATTTATTATTTTTGTTCCTGTTTATTCCCCGTGTTATTATATGATTGACTTACATTAAATAGCACATATTTAAAGTGAAAGGTTGATGCATTTTCACATATTTATATATATGTGAAACTTTTACCACAATCAAGAAAATAAATATATCTACCATCCTAAAAAGTTTCCTCATGCCCTCTTGCAATTCAGCCCTCTCTGCCCTTGCATTCCTACACAACCCATAATCTGCTTTCTGTTACTATTTGTATTTTCTAGAATTTTATATAAATGGAATAATATATCTTCTTTTGTGTCTAGGTTTTTTACTCAGCATAATTACTTTGAGATCTATCCAAGTTATTGTATGCATCAAGAGCTCATTCCTTTTTATTGCTCAGGAGTATTTATTGTATGGATACACCATGACTTGTTTGTCCATTCACTTGTTTATGGACATTAGGGTATTTTTAATTTTTTACTATTGTAAAGAAATATTTCAACTGGGAAAACTTTATTTTAAATTGGAATTTCTTTCATTTAATAATGGGTAAATTATGTGGGAGTATAATGTTTGCTGCAATACTTACAAAAATGGTGATAAAATGTTTCCTTTTTCTTTTCCAGATACTGAGGAGAGCAGACAAAAATGGTAAGAGCAAAAGTCTACAGTTTTTACTTATTAATCTCTTACTGTTTAGATCACTTTATATAGAATAATATGGAAGAGAGAGGGGAACACAAGAAATTGACACATAAAATGTCAGTTTCTTGTACCAGTAAGAGTTTAAGGAGAGTTCATGGCTCCAGTTTAGGCGAGTTCATCAGAAGTTGACAGAGGTATCTGCATTTGACAGGAAGATGGAATTTATGCCTTTGAAGTGAGGAGCCATCATACTTGGGCTCTCGCTTTCCCTTTTGTGTTGTGCTTTAAACTAATTTTAAAGTAATAATAGCTTCTATTTGTTGAGTATCTACTGGGGTAAGTGCTTTGCATTCATTGTTTCTTAGAGTTATCAAATATAGATCTGAGACTTGAACTTTAGTCTGTGTGACACCAAAGTCCAGGCTCTCAACATTGAACTTTATAGTGGCCTTGGGGCTAATACACTCTAAGATGGTTACCTGGAAGCATGTATTACAGACTTATCTCCACTCCATGGCTCTTGAGCATAGCTCTCCCAGTCGAATTGTATGCACTGTGAGTGATAATCTATAGAGGCAGACAAGTAGCAGAAACCAGAAGGAAAAATTGTTTTGTCAAAAGAACTAAAGTTGAAATGACGCCTGCACAAAGTCCAATTATAAGCTGTCATAAGCAATATCTTTTGAATCCTTCATTCCACTATAAATTTTGTTCCACAGAATACCAAATCAGAGATTATTGAATTTATTCTGCTGCTGTAGTGTAAGTACATAACAGAGCTATACTCTTGACAAGAGTTTCTTGACAAATTTAGGGTTCAAAAAGTCCTTTTCTTGAATCCAGTTCTTATATATGGGGAGAAATTACAGGCAGAATCTAGATCTGACAGACATGTGTTGTAGTCTAGTTGCCCATTAAGCTGCCAGATCAAGGAAAGCTTGACTGGCACTCAACACCTTGCCACACAACAGAAAAGATATAAATCTAAGGAGCAATAAAATAGTGCCCCAAATCCTGATAATATTTAACTGTGCCTACCCAATTAAATGTTTTCTCAAACTATGTTGCAGTCAAAGGGTTTTTTTTTTCACTTGAACCACTTGATTAATTTTTAAGACAGACATAATGATGCTATCATCTTGTCTCCTCATTCTACTCATTGGCCTATGCTTGATATCTAGCTCCAGTGATGCTGAAAGCACAACTGAGTAGTCCATTTGTCTCCATGCTACCTGCCTCTACTTTGGCAGCCATTTTCAGCTCAGAAATACCTTGTCTCCCTCTCTACCTAAGATCCTAATTCTCTCGAGGCTACACTTTCCTTTCCTTGGACCCCAATGCTCTGATAGAGGGTCAGTATTACCTTTGTATCTATCACTTTTCTTTCCATCAAAACTTACCTCCTTGGCAGCCCACTATCATAACCCATGATATGGGTTATGCACACAATTTAATGGATTTTAACATAATTTCATATGTTATGCCATGTAGAGTGGTCATTGGCACTGGCAACCCCATGTGGTCCCATTCAGTTCCATGTTTCCTCACCTGTCTCATCCCCCCCATATGATACCTCTACCCTTCTTGTTCCCTTTCCTAGTGCCCAATCCCAATGTGTTGTCAAAGCTACCTGTCCTTCTGCTCTTGTTCCCACAATCTTCACCATGCATCCTCCTCTGCAGCCCTCTGAAGCACTTGGGGCTCCACATGCCACACTTCTGTGGTGTTGTCCCTGCTTTCATCTCCACCTGCTCTGGCCTTTCAACCCTTAGTCAGCTTGAGAACTCTGAGGTATTTCTTACATTCCTGGTCAAAGGCACTTTATCTGGGAAGCACTCATCAACTCCACCAGAGAGAGCCCCACCCTCTCTCTCCATACTTTGGCATGTATTGATTATTGCCCTTTGTGAGGACTAAAATTGTTTGTTGGTGATTCTACTTCTCTAAACCAAACATGCCTTTCTATGGTAAGGAACTTGTCTTATGAGTAGACACTATGCCTAGGCAATACTAGGTGCTCAATGGATATTTGTTTAATGAATTAATAATAATTAAGTACATTCTACTCCATTATCCATCTCCCTTCCCTCTGTCCACTCTTCCCTCTGCCTTTCATCCCACTTTACTCTTCTCCCTCATTCTCAGTGTAAAGTGAGGGGAGGACAGGGTCAGGCAGGTATGGGTTTAAATCACAGCTATGCCACCTAGTAGCTGTGTGACTTTGGGTAAGTAACAAACTCTGTACCCTCAGCTTTCTCATCTACAAAATAGAGATAATGACATCTACCTATGTCATGGAGTTTTAAATAATAAATGAGATAACATATGAAAATTTCCCAGGGCAGTGCATAACATATAGTAAGAATTTATACCTGCTCATTTTTCTGGTATTATTAGGATTAATGTGATCAGTATACTACTGAAAGCCTGAGTTGTTTTTGTGTTGTGGTGCTTTGGAGACACTTGGTGACATTCTAGTCATTTTTATTTCAGTGGAGTTTAGTTGGAAAAGCAGACTATTTACCATACAAGCAGAATTGAAAAACAGGAAAAGGATAGGGATAATCTAATGTAAATGAGAGGATATTAGCGTAAAAAATCTTTCTGTACCATGTGCTCATCACATTCTGTATTGGCAAATAAACAGATGCTACATGTACTTCTCACATGATAGAATACCTTATGGACTGCATAATTGGTGATAGAATAACACAGGGAATAAGGGACTATAAGCAGTATGAGAGATAGCGTGCCACAGTACAGATTTAATTTTGGAATCTATCTCACATGAAAGGGAAGCTTCTGGAGAAATTGGAAAAAAATAATACATGATTAGAGAGATCTTGGCGGGGGGTTGGTTGTTGTTTTTAAATCATAGACTAGGGTCCTAGACCTAAAGATAGACCTTAAAATAGTATTGTATAACAGAGACACAAGTGCTTTGATCTAAAGAGCCTAAAATTAAACACAGAAATGCAAAACTTCTATGCAGGTCGAATGAAAATGGAAATGATAACATGGGCATTTGTAAAATATACAAAAAGAATTTTTTTAACATTCTCAAAGGGCAAAATAAAAAGGCTCATTGTAATGAATAATATCATCTAATTCCTCTTGTAGATGTGCATTTGCTAAGATCTGCTGCCATCCTTGATCTACCTTTCTTGGTCAGCAAATAGGCAGGCTATATGAATGACACTTTTGATCCCAATGTAATGACTGATCTCTTTAAGAGATCATTATAGTTCTCCTCAGTGGCCTTTAGACCACTCCAATAACCTGTACATTGTAAATCTGTGAGGGTAGAGACCATGCCTATTACACATAGCACCAGGCCCACAGTGGTGAGCCAAATGCCTGTCACAACATAGGTGCTCAATAAATATTTGTAACTTTATTTGTAAGAAGTGCATTACCAAAACTTTGACCTTGAAAACTGAAGAAACGTAATCATATATATCAGTTAATCAAACTAAGCACTGTTATTGTTTATCTGTTGTTTATTAATCAATAGTATTTGTAAAATTTATTGAGGATATATTATGGGCTACACCCTACACTAGATGCTTTGTATATATTGTCTTCAGTTATTATGAAAAGTCTACAGAATAGCCAGTTTAGATTGGTGGTAAGAACACAGGCTTTAGTTTTATGACTTTGAGCAAGTTACTCAACTTCCCCTTGCCTCAGTTTCCTCATTTGTGAAAGAGGGGTAATATTATTTCTTTTATGCCTCTAAAACTCTTAGTCTTGATCTTGCATATAGTAGTAATTGTACAATATTTTTAGCTATTTTTAATATTTCTCCTTTTTTTAGGTGAAGCTCAGAGAGTTTAAATAATTTTTCTGGGTTATATTGTATGTTAACAGCAGAATTTTGAACTCAGGTTTATCTGACTCCAAATTTGGTGATCTTTTCACTTTACTGTATATGGCACATATATATGTACTTCAGTCTACAAATATATAAATATAATTATAACCTGAATTTGCAAAGAGCTTGAATATGATATTCTGATTTCCCGATGCACTAGTTTTCTTGACTTAATGCACTAATTTTCTTGGTAATATGAAAGAATTATGACTCTTTGAATGACTAATCTACTTCAAGAAAATAATGCTGGCATTAAAACCCCTGGTCTAAGAACAGTTGTTGTATATGTGTGTTTAGAAATATTTTGAAGATTTCATTGGATCATTATATAACTAATGTTATTAGATTAAATGAGAATTTCTAAGAGTCTTTTAATTTGGTTACCCAAAGTTTGGTTTATTCAGTTAAAATGTAAGAATATGACCTCAAGTAGAGGGGTGAAACAAAGGTTCTGGTAAGTAGGAATATTTTTTTGAAGACAGAAACTTTCAGAGTACCATCGAGAGGCCAGATTCTATGTTTCCTGTGTATTAATAACAAGGCTGTCCTTTGACAAGAGCTACTTAGCCAAGTTTCACTGGCCCCCCCACTGGATGCCACAGTCCCTCTGATCTTCTAATAAGGGATATGAGACACAAATAAAGATGACAAGATTAAGGACTGGGTGCTGTAAAGTAGGATTACTGGCATAAGGCTGATTTTCATTTCGTAATGCCTCACTATTTCTCAAACATTTTGGTGAAAATTAGTGAAACTGAGAATCAGATAGCTTATTACAGAGGAGGGTTCTCAGAGAGCTCTAGATTCATGTTTGCTCTCAGGCATAGGCAAACTTGCAAACTCTTCCTACACATCTGCCAGCTTGAAAGTCAAAGAAAAGTCTAATAAGAGTGATTCATTAAACAAACAAGCAAACAAGCATACAAAAAACACCTCATGCCCTAACAATGACCCTACTGGGAGAAGTGATTCATCAAGGAGTTCAATATGTGGGAGCGCACGAGTGAAAGTCCTGACTGTAATGATTTGTCTTAAATTAAAAAAAAAATTTATTGAAGTATAGTTGATTGACAGTATCGTTCAGTTATACACACACACACACACACACACACACACATATATATATATATAT